CAGGCTCTAACCCCCCCCACCTCCCCGTGTCCCACCCCCTCCCCGCTCCCCTCCCCGCGCTCTGCAACCTCTGCTACATAAATCCCTGGATGCTCTCCCGGCCCCCGGGATTAGGTGTCGGAGGCGGTGGCCACGGCCTTGGGGACGGCGGCGGCGGCGTTGGGGCCGTTCCAGAGGCCGCTGCCGCCGTTCTCCTCGGGCGGCTCCGCCTGCCTGTCCCCGTTCCAGCGGCGCTTCAGGCGCAGCTTGGGGGGCATCAGGGCGTCCTCCCTCTTCTCCTGAGCTCCCGCCTCTCCGCAGGGATCCCGGGGGGGTTTCTCCACGCCGCTCTCCCCTGGGTGCTGCTGCTGCTGCTCCGGCGGGGGCTCTTCCGAGGAGGACGAGCCGGGCTGGGCGGGCGCCGGGAGCCAGGACGGGGCGGCCGGGCGGGCGAACACCGGCCCCCCCTTGCCTTCCTCTGCTCCGGAACCTTCTTCCCTCCTCTCTGCCCCGTCCTTGCCCTTGGCCTCCTCGGGCTCCCTGTCCCCGGCGGGCTCCACCTTCACCCTGAGCTGAGCCGCTTCCTCGGCGCTTTCCAGCCTCTCCCTGTTTTTCCGGCCGGCGGGAGGCGGCTGGAGCTTGATGGGGAACTGGGGCTGCTCCTCCAGGGGCACCTGGCACTGCAGCGGCGGCACCACCAGCGGGTAGCGGGGGAAAGTCCGCGGGCTCAGGTGGTAGTTGAACACGGAGCAGGCCTGGGAATGCAGGTAGTGTTTCATCTCCTCGGGGTTGAAGGAGAAGCAGCTGCTGCCGGTGAAGGGGCTGAGCCCCGGCGAGGGGCTGTAGGAGAACAGGGTGGGCGTCAGCGACAGCGCCGGCGAGATGGGCACGTTGAGGACCCCCCCGCGGCCCGGCAGCGGCGACACGGCGAAGGGGCTGTGGGGGTCCGGGAACATCCCGGGCCGGGGGAACAGCGGCAGGACGATGTCGGGCTTGCGCTTGGGGTGGGCGACGCTCCCGCCGCCGCCGGGCCCGCCGTGGGGGGCCAGCAGATCCACGCCCCCCCGGCGCCAATCCGAGGAGGAATCTTCCAGCAGCTCCGGCAGCTCCGGCTTCCTGTCGCCGCCGCCGCCGTCGCCCGCCAGAGCCTCCGGGGTGGATCCCGGGCCGAGGGAACCGCCGGGGAAGCGGCCCCCAGGCTGGGAATCCTCGGTGGGGGAGTGGGCGTCCAGCGGAGGGAAGTGGAAGCGGGACGAGGCCGTGGGGACGGGGGGAGCGCTCTGGGGGACCACACCTGGGGTAGGGAATGACACAGTCAGGGGGCGGCCCGGCCGGCAGGGACGCGCTGGGATCATCCGGCCCCGCTCCCGGCCCTGCACGGCCCCAGGAATTCCCTGGGAGTGTCGTCCCAACACTCCCGGAGCTCCTGGGACCGTGTGGAGCCTCTTCCGGTGCCCAAACACCCTTTGGATGGACGACCATTCCTTAATTTCCACCCCAAACGCCCTCTGGATGAACGACCATTCCCTAATTTCCACCCCTGGATGGACAACCATTCCCTAATTTCCACCCCTGGATGAACGACCATTCCCTAATTCCCACCCCAAAGGCCCTCTGCATGAACGACCATTCCCTAATTTCCACCCCTGGATGGACAACCATTCCCTAATTTCCACCTCTGGATGAACGACCATTCCCCAATTTCCACCCCTGGATGAACAACCATTCCCTAATTTCCACCCCAAACGCCCTCTGGATGAACGACCATTCCCCAATTTCCACCCCTGGATGAACGACCATTCCCTAATTTCCACCCCAAACGCCCT